CGCCGGGTCGCTGATGGACCCGTCGTCGGGGCATCGCAAGCTGCCCTGCGCGAAAAACCGCTCGCGCGGAATAAGAGGATTGCGGAGGATTTTCCCCGAGGCTATCCGGTACCCGATCAAATAGTCGCAGCTTAAGCCGTATAATTAATCGTGTAATTTTATTAGCAATGCACGCTATGTTATTTGCTCGCGATACACTCGTAATATCAAGTTTGATCGACAATGACGTTCTGGGGGGGAATAATATCCAGAATTTTTCACAAGTTTCGCTTCTATCTTCGTTTCATTGCGCACGAATCAAGTTTCGGGACAGAAATTGGACGAACGGATGAAATTTTCGCACTTATCACGATAGATTTCCAAAATTCCCACACAGCACAAGACATCTATCGGACGTCCAAATTATGTCCGTTTTATGTCGGGACGTCCATGAACGTGTTATGAACGTCCTCTCGACGTCCGTTTATGGATATCCACTAGAAGTCCATTAAAAGACATCCGTTGGATGTCCAAAACATAACCGTTTTATATCTGACTTCTCTGGACAAATTATGGACGTTCACTGTACGTCCTACTTATTTAGGATGTCCTTCGAGTGTCCGCCATGGGATATTCAATGGATCTAAATCACATCCGTTTTACGTTAATAAATCCATTTGCGACATGTATAGAGTGACACACGAATTTAATCGAATATTTTGTACAATAAATCTATTTCTCAACGCTTATTACGCGTGCAACGACCGATTTATGTCCCGCTGCTCTATTTTTGTTTTAGACTCAAAACTAGAATATCGATTCAGTTCAAAATATCTATAGTTTTGAGAAAAATATTCTAAATTAATGCCCGATTTCTTCACATCCAGTTATGTTACGGTTAAAGTTAAACGGGAGATAACTACCAGATCCATGCACGTGATTGGCCAAAACTTGAGATTAACCTCCTGATAATTTTATCGGGAAGTGAAAAAATTGGCCATAAGTGTAATTTCTCTTTAGAAACGAGGCAAGAAAAATTCTTATTTAATTGATATTTCATGTCGATATTTTTTAAGTGTTATTAATTAGTTGCAGGATAGAGAAGTTCTCGAGTTTCTAGAAATTATCTATTTTGTAGTCAATCAGTGTTCCACAAAACTTATTGTTCGATTACACCGTATTCTCATTTATTGTCCATGAGACATCCGAACTGGACATCCATTGGATGTACTGTATTTTCGTCCACTATAGGTCCACTGGACATCCAATTGATCCGATATGAATGTCCAAGGGACATCCACATTTATCTATCCGATGTCCATAGGATGTCTTATGGATGTAGTTACGCCAGACATTCGGACATAATAAGTATGCCCTACAGACAACGGACGTATAAGGACATCCCATGGATATCCGTGCTGGACCAATCGTATGTCCGTCGGATATCCAGTGGACGTCCATGTGCTATATGGGCTATTGAATTTTGAATTTAATAATTAGAACGAGCATGTTTGGAAATTGATCACTCTCGTATTTCGCGAGGAAAGTATATTGTTCTGCATGAGAACATCGATGCGAAACTAACCGACCCAATTCTGAAAAGATACGTTGTGTTTGACAAACTCAACAATCCTTAATCTGTTTATTTAAAAAGACACACTTCCGCATTCTGGAATTTAAATTCAAACTAAATGTGTAAAATGAGAGAGAGAGAGAGAGAGAGAGAGAGAGAGAGAGAGAGATTCTCTGCCGCGGATGTGATTTCGCGGCCGCAGAAATTAATCCGCTCACGCAGCGTGGCGGGCACGGATTATCGTCGGGCAGAAAGCGTTTCACTCGATCGTGTTGTAGCGTGACGATTGCATTGTAATTTGTGGCGACAACAGAGGACAGTTTACCTAACGCCCTGCAGGCGCGACAACCTAAGCGCACACATGCACGCGTGGCCGGGCCGCGTTCTCTACGGCGCGAATAAAAATTTTTGCGCGCCACGCTAGCCGCAATATATCAACACACCCGAACACCTCCGAAAATATACGATCGTTCGCCGATTGATCGTCACTTCGTTTCTCCAGTTGTTCCATCAAACGCGAAAACAACCGTAAGGAAAGTACGGAAAGTACGCATTTGTATACCACATTTGTACAAGGACAGCTCTAGGCCCACTTCTTGGCACAGTACACTGAAGTGGAAAGGAAAAGGTTGGTAGGGAGAAGGAATATAAAAAGAACAGCCAAAAGGTGGACGCTGGGGTGATTCTGCACTTTTTGCACCTTTTGCTCCAAAAACAATTAATTTTGTTCCTGTCAATTCATTTGTGCGATGCTTTTGTTTACAAACCGATAGTGTTCCACTATTCGGACTAAATCAGAGAACAGCATGGTATCATTCAAATTAAGTTTAGAAGTCTAACAAAAAATCTATTCACTCGTTGCCCAACCTATAACTTATTCGAGTGAATAGATTCGCCGTAAGCAAAATGATAGCAGATTATAGGCAGACTGGCAACAGATTTCATCAGAACATTTCAGCAGATTGACATCATCTACGTCCGCATTCAGCCTGTGTTCTGCCGCCAGAGTTTGCTGACATGCTCGGATAGTAGATTGTCGGCAGAAACCGAGCAGGATCTGCGCGGCAGTTTGATGGCAGATTAGTGGCAAAAACTGAGCAGGATCTGGCGCTTAATTTATATTTTTTACCGTTTTTGTTCCTTTCATTACAAAGATAAAAATAAGTAAGTAGTCCTTTAAGATTTCTACGCACTCACAGACAAGAGAGCAGAAAAGCTCATTTTAACACTTCAAAACCCATACAGCACCAAAGCTTTCAGAAACATTGCAACATTGCAATAATGTTTTCCGAAATGTTTCGGAAAGCTTCGGTGCTGCATGGGAAAGATGACCAAAGAATCTCACGTGGATGTGTTAATTTATAATACCGCGTGCGGTTTTCTTCTTACGGGAAAGTGTCATGCCGCGTGTCCATCTAGCGGCAACGTTACGCTACTAAACGATAGAGTATGCTCCGTTTTGTTACCGATCTGCCGACAAATTATGTGAGCAGATTCTGCTCGGTTCCGGCTGCTATCTGTCGCCATGTTGCGTGAGC